AAGTGGGCATAACTGAAAAAAGTGTCGTAGTTGCCCTGAAGACCGTTTTTATTTACCACTTCCTTACTTGTTCACCTCGCTTTTTAGAAAGAACGCCCGAAGGTAAAGACAAAGCATGAGAAAAGGTCTCCTTATCTCTCCTTACGTATTCACCATTCAAAACACTATTCTAATCTAATGTTATTTTCAATCAAGACTAAGGGATAATTATTCTCAAGAAATATTATTCTAAGCCGATTCAATTCATTGTCACAATGGTCTCTGTCGGCCAGTTAAGTATAAAGCCAGCATATGTTGAGACCAAAAACAAAAGAATGCTCATCAGCAAAGCCAGACGATGGTTATAACTCAAAGGAAGAAAGGAGGAGATAGTGGTCATCAAACATTGATGGCCGAAAATGGACGTTACTTTTGCTGTCCTAATTACTTTGAGCCATCACTGTGGGTATCGTGCATAAGCGAGCACAAACAAGCACATACAAATACAAAAACAGACACACTCACAGGCATCGAAGTTGACATATGACCTTAACTAAACAAATCACTTTATGCTTGATCAAAGAGGTCAGATGTAGAGTATAGATACCACTTTAAATGAATTTGCCGGTAAGTTTTCTTGACTGGTCAGCTTGAATTTTGTTGTGACGATGTTAACTCGTTCTGATGATGTTCGTCATGTCACACACGAAAGCTTAGCACCTTTTCACCGGAATCGGAGGAGATTACCTCACCACCTCGTCAGCATGAATGTTGCACTAAAGCCGATCGACAGATGGTCAGGAGGAATCCTCCATCGTCTTCTGCTGGAACCGACCTTCGAATCTCTTCAACCGACATTTTCACTCGAAGTGGAAGTAAGCTCAACAATTATGAAACAAGAGATTCCTCGAAGCCCAAGTTTTCCTCGCATATGAAATTCTTGCATTTAGGCCAGATTGCCCGTTGTGGCCTTCATGAATTGTGTATAGCAATAAAAGTCTATTTTAGTGACACGTGGAGACCAAGGATATAACGATTTATATTTGTTAGGGGGACCTTCATTTCGAATAAATTTACATGAAGAAGAGATTCGTTTGTCGATCTCACCAGATGAGGACGGATGAAAATCGTTGTACTGCAGCC